CATCTGGGCAGGGGATGCAGTCATAGCAGCAAAAGGGCTCCCCTTCCTTCATTTTCTTCCTGGAACCAGGCCAGCAACTCCCAGCACATACTGAAACAGGCTGGGACTGAAGCAGAAATGAAATGAAAAGAGAAGAGAAGAGAAGAGAAGAGAAGAGAAGAGAAGAGAAGAGAAGAGAAGAGAAGAGAAGAACCGTTGGAATCTAGAGTGCAATGATCCTGGAGATCACATCAGTCTGAATTAGGATAATAATTAGCATGTTATTAAATTTGTATGCTGCCTGACTCAACAGCTCACAAAAACCAAACAAAGGAATTACAATGAGATCAATATGCCTTTAATTTAGAAAGTTGTTTAAATGCTATTCTACTTATTTAGGTACTGGTCTACTACCACAGTATTGTCTATAGAGAGATGCATCAGATTTCCAGCACTCCCAAATGTAGACAATTGCTACTGTGACAATCCATTGTGTTCCACCTTACAGCTATCTTTAAAGAGGAACTACAACATGAAGTTGTTTCATTGACCATTTTCAGATGCATAAAAATGTGTGTTTTTTTAACCTACAGCAAGTTGACAATATACCCATTGTTATTATGAGAAAAGCAGAAGCAGCAGCCAAATAACTGTAGATGGGTCACATGATCAATCCTTTATCAGGAAGTCACATGACTGCTTTTTCATTTTCCTGCTAGCTCCAAGATGGCAACTCTTCAGTGTATCCTGAAACAGGCTGGGGCCAAATGCAGAATCAAAAAAGAGCAATTGGAATCTAGAGTGTAATGAGCTGGCAGATTCTGGGAAGTATTTCTAGTATGAGAGATTTTAAGAAGCATTCAATTAGTAAGTTATGCTGGCTTCAAGTTATATTGATACTCCTTCACTGCCTTACAGAGATAGGCATCAGATTTCCAGCACTATCATATACATAAAATTGTTTAGTTCCACTTTGCAGCTATTTTTAAACATGACCTGGAGCAGATGTTCATGAAGTTGCTACACTGGCCATATTCAGTTGCCTTAAAAATGATTTCTTAATCTACACAACAATTGCATACAAGGTACAAAACCTCATTGGTTTCACAATAAACCAACCGGCATCATGAGAAAAGGAGAAATAATGGTCAGGGAATTCTGCATTTCTTTCTGGTTCTTGGCTGTTTTCTCAAAAAATTGGTGCTCCATCAGTTCTATTAAACTTCTCAGAGAGATATTTGGCAATTACTGGCATCACACGCTATGGTTTTCAGGTTTTCACCTTGTGGTCTGCCACAGCACTTCACGTCAATTTTACCAATTCCTCATGTTTTGCTACTTTGTTTCTTCACTGCAATCAATGCCCACCCTGTTTCTCCTATGCATACTTTCTTTTAGAGTGACACGGGGATCTGAGAAATGGCAGCTTGTCATTCTTTCAATCGTTGAGGCACCACTTTGGTGAAGTGTTCTGGTGCTATATCTTGATTCATTGCTACTAGACCGGTTTTATAATATTGAAAGATTTTCCTGATTCTTTCCATGTACAGAGGTCATAGCAGTGTATCATTATCTAGGAGCTAATAAGTTTTTCTTCCCTGTCAAATTGTCCTGGAACAGTAGTTGTTTTTCCTGAAATCTTTTTTCAGTCTTTTATTTCCTTATGTCTTATCTTGGTACATATTGCATCTGATCCTAGACACATAACTTTAATAATCCTAACCACGGTTTTTTCCAGATAGTTTGGATAATAGTTTTGGTATTGGTTGATGTGGTTTGGCTTTTTGTAGACACTAGTGATAGAATGCTATTATTATGATTTGATGAAGATAGCCTCATCAAGAGCACTGGGCAGGGTTCTGCTCAATGAATGAATGAATGAATGAATGAATGAATGAATGACAGGTTTACAGGGATCACTAATCAATGCAATATACAGTTTACAACTACAATTATAAATCCAAAATAAAAATGCAGGAGGTGTTCCTATATTACGAAAGTAAGTAAATGACAAAGTATATGCGAATAGTCAGGCAATAAGAAAACTCATTAAGGAAAATTGACTTAAAGTAGTTATGGGTAAAGTAGTTTACAGCCAGTGTGGTGTAGTGGTTAAGGCATCAAGCTAGAAACTAGGAGACTGTGAGTTCTGGTCCTGCCTTGGACATGAAGTCAGCTGGGTGACCTTGGGCTAGTCACTTTCTCTCAGCTCTAGGAAGTAGACAATGGCAAATCACTTCCAAAATCAAAAACTGCAGGGACTTATCCAGGCAGTCCCCAGGAGTCAAGACTGACTGAAAGGAATACACACACACACACACACACACACACACCCCCGTGTGTGTGTATGTATGTATGC